TAGAACCCTGTCCTTTGCTAACCTCCAAAAACACTGATTTCTGAAATTGTCAATGCAATTGACCCAGAGCTACAAAGCAATCACTTACAGTTAATTGGAATTCATATCTCTTAATAGTTCTTTCTTCCTTTAGCAATTTATGCTGTTATTTCAAAATAACACTCATATTAAAATGAGACCTTAAGAAAGGCCATCATTGACTTAGGTAGCATGCACATTTTTGTGAATTAGAAAAGGCCAATAGGATGATTTAAGATAGCCTGAAAGGTGTTTGTATTTGTATATAGCTTTGGATTTCAGTTCCACATGTGAACGCTGAGTGTCTTGGAAGGGGGGGCCTAGTAGAGAAGCAGTTTATAAGGACCTTCCTAGACTTCTTACTCAACATTGCCACGCCACTCTCCACAGAATGCAATGGGACAAGCTTAAACTTAGCACTAGGAAGATGGCAAATAAAAGAATCAGGTCTGCAAGGAAAGATGAAAGACCACAAAAATGTATTAGAAGAGAGAAGGTTTCTTCACTGTTAAACTCTCCTTATTGAGTTTCTGGTGAATGACAGGCTGCTTCTTAAATTCTGCTTTTTGCTCCCTTTGGCAAGCACAGAAAAAGTTCTCTTTATACAAGAGTAAAGCAGTTTCTGTTAATATGTAGCATGGAAATAAAGGGGAACATGCCACACAATCATGCTGTAAAATACAGGCTTCCTTCACGAAGTGTGATATGAAAATATATGTGTGTATCTGGTAGGGAAAATATGTGAGCCAAATTAACATAAACTAGCTGATGAATTTTGTATGTTATTAAATGTCATGCTAGAGTGATTTCATTTTAATCTCAGCATCCACACTCATGAAGACAGTTTGTATCAAATCCTGACTCTATAAGGGCCAAGGAAATCAATCAGTTTGTCAATAGATGTTGCTTAGGAACCCAAGACAAATTCATCTTCCCAAAAGAACTTAGTAATTTGGTTGTAGGTAATGAATATTTTTACTAGAGTGAAGATGGGGGAAAGAGGGGTAGAAAAAAATGAGCCCATCTTTCCCCTCTGAGCTAATTCAAGAACCTGGAGCTTGGATGTCCAATTGTCCCTCTGTTCTAAGAACCCGAGTGCACCTCCATCAGATGTCAGACGACTGAGGCTCCCTGGAGAAGGGGGTGGCTTACAAGTTTCTACCCTTCTGTTAAAAAGGTCAGTGAATGGGCGGTGCCTGTGGCTCAAAGGAGTGGGGCACTGGCCCCATGTCCTAGAGGTGGTGGGTTCAAACCCAGCCAAAAACTGCAAAAAAAAAAAAAAAAAAGGTCAGCAAAACTAATCCACAAGTTCATTAGACACTAATAAAGTAAAATTTGATATAAATTTATTTTAGAACATTATATTATGAAGCTAAATTTCCTTAAGAAAATGTTTAAATTAATACAGAAAGCATTGGAACTATGTTTTAAGTTCTGTATTGCGTAGGAGATATAATTCCTTAAATATTAATGTACTGGAGATGGCTTTCAAGTCTTATACTAAAACCTAATTTAAAAAAATCCAAAAGTTTTGTCTTAAATCAAAAAGTTACTATAAATTATATCAGGTTTGATATCTTTTTCAAGCATGTTTCAAAAAAGAGCCCATTTCCCTCTACAGTTCTATAGGAGTAGGTTTTAAATGATGCAAAAGTATGGGAACTATCCAAATGGAAATTCAACAATCTGACGTGAAAATTAAATCTTTTTGTATAAAATATAAATTAGAAAAGGAACATTTCACAGCATTAGTTTTAATTCAAGTGGAAGAATCAGAAAGGGCTCATTGTCTTCAAGGGGGGATGACCTGAAGGGGTTGGGCAAAAGGGTAGTGTGACTTGGCAAGAAAGAGAAAAGTGATTACATTAATTTTAATGGTACAATAGCAGCTTTCAATAAGCTTTATGATAGCAGAAAAAGATTGATTTTTTTTTTTTGCTCTTTGTACTAAAACGTGTGGTGTCCTAAGCTGCATTTTGCCAGAAATCTAATACCTATAATTTATTGTATCCCATATTCTCAATGTTAAAAGAGGAAAGAAGGCAAAAAGTCTGAGGTCTTAAAATATAATGGACTATAGATTCATTGCTAAAACTCAATTGGAGTCTTGAAGATTTCCTTTTAATTTTAAAATGCACTTAACAAAAATTAAAAAGCACAAGAAAAGCTGTAAAATGGTGTCAGAACACTGTGTTTTCCACATTCCATTTGTATGAAATGATTTGAGTTTTCTGAATCTAAAAGTGGGAGTAAAGGGCCTCTGGCTTAAATAGAAGACCCGCTGTTCTGAAAAAAAGACCTCCAGCCTACTTGAAAGTATGAAAGGGCAGGAGCCACATTTTTCTCTGGCAGATTTACTTTCAGGTATAGGCATTAACGTCACCCCATTGTTTCCTAGTCCTTATTTATAGCCTGCAGTCAGAATAACACTATCCAGGTTCCCTTGCCATTCATTCACCAATGTCTTGGACACAGTAAAATGTGATTTCCTTTAGAAAATTGTATTTGCATATCAGATATATAGTCTTGAAAATCATAGTAGTGACTTAAATAAAAACTTTAAGAAAACATGGAAAACCTAAGAATCTTGTCCAACTGCTGTTTTTCTTCAAGTTTATTGTAAATTATCAACATAAAACTACTGAAAGGTATTTTAAAAAATCAATAGAAATTATTGTCCAGATGAGAAGCAATACTTTATTCAATGTGAATGGGATACTAAAACATTAGAGTACATTAAAGGAAGAGAAGTGAAAAAGAGAAAATTCAGACACCATACTGTATGAAGACTCTCTTAGAGTCTTTGGTTAAGAAGGAAGGATTTGAGAGCAGGTGGTGGAGAGGTAGGATGAGTGGCTTCATATACCTGGCCAGCTTTCATTCAGAGAAAGGATTAGAATTCTGGTTGCCTTCTGATGGCAGATCTAGGAGCAGAAGTTATGAGGAAGTGGATTGGTAGAATGGTTTGGCAATAAAAGGGGTGGTTTCAAAGAAGCATGATTTCCTTATCATGGAAATCTTCAAGTTGATATATGTTCCAGGAGAGGAAAATGATTCCATAAATGACATAATGATGGCACAGAGGGCAAAGATTTAGCAAAAGAAGAAAATGATCATTCAGTTTTATGTTATAAACATGTATCTAATTATAATAGATGTGTCACATATTTGTCACAGAATATACCATACATACAATGGAACCTTATAGTTGACCTCCCTCAGTTACCACCTCTTCATATTGACCTAATTTTCATAGCATGAACATGTATCACATGTACTCAATGGAAGTTCCTTCTGTTGACCAACTCCATAGGTTGACTGGTTTGTTACAGTTCCATGGATGGTCAACTTGCAGAGGTTCTCCTATATATTAAACAATTAATTTAACAAGTATTTATTCAATAGCCATTATATTGTAGGTATTAGTCTGGATTGTGGAGCCAAAATAGGGAACATGACAAACAAGATTTTCACCTTTATGGAGAAATTCTTTCCCAGGGTGGTAGTCTCCAGTTTAACAAGTATAAAGCAGAAGTAGGTTGTCTGTTGTAATTGAAAATAAGTGTGTTAACTCAGGAATTTGTGTATGTAAAGACAGGTGATCTGTTAGAGTGCTTTAATTCAAGTTGAGACTTGCAGGTTTAATATTACTTAGCTAAATGAAAGGAATAAAGGATTGGAGAAGGGACAAGGCAAGAGTATTTCAGGCAGAGGGAACAACATTCGTGAAGGCCCGACGATGAAAAAAAGGAGTGAGAGAGAGGTTCAGGGGAGTGGTTTGAATCACATTGCTTTTATAAAGGACCTATATATGTGGCAAAGGGACGGATCCTATATTATATTATTACCAATTTAAAATCTATCAATTCAGAACTTGCATATTGATTATAACTTCTAGGCACCTCAGACTCTCAGAATGTGAGTTGCCATGAAAATATTTATAATTCATAGAAATGGCTTTACTTCCTCCATTAATAAATATGAACTCAGGCTAGGCACCTGGGAGAACTCTGGGAGCCTAGGCCAAGGTAGGCTAGTTAGACACCAGCCTGAGCAAAACCCCGTTCCCCCACCCTATCTCTAAAAAATAGAAAAAAATTAGTGAGGCATTGTGGAGAGCACCTGTACTCCCAGCTATTCAGGAAATTGAGGAAGATTGCTTTAACCCAGGAGTTTGAGGTTTCTATAAACTAAGCTGATGTATCTGCACTCTAGCCTAGGGCAACAGAGTAAGACTC